ATTGCCACCAGGACACAGCTAACCGCTGCTCTCACCGTCTCCGGCTGGTTCTCAAAGATCTCCCTGGCCTCCTCCTTGTTGCACAGCTCCTCAATGCACTCCCTCTCCAGGTTCCCCTTCTTGCTCTCCTCAAACAGAGAGTTGGCTCTGCGGTGCCTGCTCAGGAACTGGGAGGCTGTGTTCTGGCTCAGGACTGGAACAGACACAGAAATTAATTTAAACATACTGAGCACAGCCACAGTATCTTTCCATTGTCAGATTTGGATGTTTGCTATTACAACAATCACAACTGAACAAACCCGTTCCTGTGCAGGTTACTATGACTGATTATTACAAGCAGGCACATACAGCTACATTATGAGAAAACATGACTGATCCCTGCAGGAATTTAACTCCTCTCTTCCCTCATGACAGATGGCTCATGTGGCTGCTGCTGCCTGTATGGACCAAGAGGACAAAAGTAATTACTCTTCTATGAATTGGCCTAAAAAAACGGGGTCATTGCGAAACCGTTATTTCCCAGAAATGACCCCTAGTTGGTGTAACAAGCAGCTCATATTATCCAAGCATTTTTTCACGATGTAGAAAAGGAGTCATGACCCCTCACATATGCAAAAAAACGGAGAAAAAAAGTCCTGAAACCGTGCCCAGCTGGTCCCATCCAGGATTGCAAGCTGTTCGTTTCAAACTGGGGCACTGAGGCTGAATAGGCTAAATAAGTTACTTTTTCCCCCGTTCAATTACTTCACCAGCTTAACGTGTAAAACCGTAAAAAACCCAAACATACTTACATCGATAGGCATCGACGAGCGTCACCAGTAATACGAGACAAGCCAAGGGTTCCCCAAGAGCCCGCTTCGTTCTCCACATAGTCGAGCCGTTCTTCCTGCTAGGCCACGGGTTGGCTCTGAGTAAAGACTGGCTGAGCGCAGGTCCGTGCGGGGGAAAAAAAAACTTTATTCTTCCCGAAAGTGTTTTCGTAGAGAGACGAGGGGGGAGCAGTCAGTGGGAGAGGACACGGAGGGCTGCGAGGGGAGGCAGCTAGGGAGCGCTGCTGACACGCTCACCAGCTCCGCCATTGTTTACTTTACACGCATGCTGCTGGTCTGAGCGGCCGGCTGCTGAACTCATGCAGAAAACAGATTTACACAACACAATACACGACAGGAGGCCACAAAGCCTGCTTTCTGGAAAACCTCACACACACACCCACACACACACACACACACACACACGATAGAAAAACAAAACTTTGGTCTAAGCAAAGAGTTTGTGTTGAACAAGTAGTTCTCAGTGTAAGTCCGGATATGAGTATTTTTTTATTATTCAAGGCAAAATAATAATTAAAAAGGACATGAAAAGTAGTCTTACCAATAACCGATAGCAAAAATAGCAGCCCTCCTTTCTGTTGCATGTTCATCCATAGTTAGATAATAAAGGCCTGTATTATACATATCTATGTGTTCACCTATAACTTTTGAATAATTTCAAAGTTCTCACTTCTTAAAGTTAATAGCAATTGTGTAGACATATATTTAAATCTATAAAGACCATATAAAGACTAATTGCTCTACTGGATGGAAACACATTGAGTTTCCAGCAGGATAAAGTTATTATTAGTCTTTGTTTGCTATGAACTTAGCCCTAACTGCTAGCTTAGCTTAACTGCTATGTGACTGAACAATAAATGTATGGATCAAAAGTCTAAAGAATTTTAGAATGAATAAAACGAATTTATTAATCAATAAATAAATAGACTAAATTAGAAATAATCAATTTCAAAGGAAATTAAGCATAGGTAACACATTTTTATAAAAATTATTTTAAAAATAATATTTGTAAATATATACTTAAAAAAATATTCATTCACCAAGAAATAACTTACATTGTTTTCTTCTCTGAAAGCAGCATAAATCAGTCAGCAAGTGCATTGTTTGATAATACATTATTAAATTTAAATGTCCTATTTTAAAAATTGTAATTGTAAATATATCAAAAATAATTATTGATCCATCAACAAGTAGTTCATATTGAAAGTGGATTTCTAAAAGCAGCATACATCAGCAAGTTCTTTATCTAATATTACAACGTTGAATTCAAATGCTATTTTTAAAATGCAGTTTTACCATATCAAATAAATAACCAGATTAACAAATGTAATTACTAGTCATAAGATGACATTTTCTTTTGCATTTTCTATTTTCTTGCTGTCACATTTTGTACTTTTTACTTTTTCATTTTAATTTCAGCTTCTCCATCTAACATGTCTGTCAATTTGAACACTGCAAATTAGCATTGGGATGTGGCAGGCTCTCTGTGCAGGGGGTATCATGTCATCAAGGAGTAGGAGTATATATATATATAAACATTTTTACTCTCATTTTAGTTGTGCCACTTTTCATTTAAAAATCCGTCATATTTGGCAGATGCACATTATTTTATGTTATTTGTTGTCTTTGTTTGCTTGCTGTTATTTGTTTTTTTTTCTAGGATGTCATATTAAAAGACCTTTATTGATTCACAAAAGACAAAAGCTCGACCCAAAAGTAACTGTTCCACCACAGCTACTAACACAGTTACTCATCTTATTTTAACACAGTGGCTTCAGTGAAACAGTGCAGCTGTATGGATTCAGTAATAAATGACATGGACACCACATTTGCATTAATATTGGTTTCATTTAGTTATTCAGGAAAAAAAAAACATCACATTTACACCATCCATTCAGCTGTTTTATGTACACATATAACAGGCTTATTTTAATACTTTTAAAATATTTGTACAAAATACAATGTTCTCCCTTTATAATATGTGTTTATCTGAGGAGGCATTTTACTGCAAAAAGGTCAGCAGATGTGCATTGTTAATTTGTGATAATTTGACAGGCTTATTGAGGGCTTGTTAATATTATTGCATGCTGAAACACCATTATTGCATAAGTCATTCCTTTGTGGGCTTCGGGGTTGGGGGGATGCCATTACTGTAACTGCCATCACTGCATTAACTCAGCTAATATTTCTGGGAAGGTGGGTTGTTTTTTTAAAACTGAAAATTATAATAAATATGAGTTTATTCATAAACCTGAGGAGAGTTAGTAACTGGTGGAAACAAGCACTCACCAAAGTTTAGAGGTTAAAGCAACACTGCTCTCTTAATGTTTAATCAATGTACATAAAATGTTTGGGGAGATAATGTTGGCAAAGGAACAGTGCTTCTATACAAGAGAAAAGCGGGGATACACAACATCAGGCCAGAGTAGAGTAACAGTGTCTTTAGTTTGATTACAGGCAGTGATTGTTCAACAAGTGACACTGCCTTTCCTGACCTGTAACACTGGGTTAAATCAATTGGCAATACAACCCGTCATGTCAGTCACTTGTGTTCATACTGCACACGCACAAAACACACGCACCTCAGTCATTCAGTTCAAAAGATAGAAAACAGAGTCAAATTGTTGAGAACCTTCCTTACAGTTCGTAGATCAACATATTCGACAAAGAAAAAAATAACAAAAAAAACATGTCATTGGAATAATTGCTCAGCTGTTTTTAAAACAGTATAGGTATTGAGATATAAAAAACATATCTAAACAATGAGTTTTTTTTGTTTGTTTTTCAAAAAAGTGAATTTTAGAAAAGTGATGACTGGCACTGTTAGGGATCCTGTGATCACGGGAAACACCCGTGAGGCTACATAAACACGTACTGGAAAATACAAAATTTGTCTGTGGTTTGTAGTCGTCTGTGGAGGCTATGCTTGCTTGCGACTATGACTACACTTCACATGCACTGGCAAGAGTGAGTGCTAAATGAATGTCAGTGAGAGTGTTTGCCTTTGGAAAGCATGAAGCAACACAACACAACTGGTTAACAATAATAAATCATGTACCTTCAACGGAAACTGAGGTGCTGTCTGGTAAGATGCACACAGGAGACAGCTTCTCAGAGAGGAATGCATATAAATAGGTTTTAAACTACAGGGGGGCAGTTTTTCCAAAGTTAAAAAAAAGAGCTACTCACAGAACAGAAGAACCACGTTATTAGGCAGCCAACGGGGCGACACAATCAGTCACACACTATCCATTTCACAACTATAACTTGAGACAAGACTGGTTAAAATGTTAGTATATGGATTAATTAGAAGAAAAGCTAAAAAAAAAAACCCATCTGCGTTATGTGACTAACACATAGTCGCTGCTTTGTGATAACTGAAGGGGTAGCTCAGCTTTAATTGCCCTTTCTACTTACACAGAGTGAAACAAGCAGATGCATTTGAGTGTATGTTGTCTTAACAACTTAGCAGAATGCTGGATGTCAGGACGAAGTATCAGCTCCATGCATATAAACCTACAACAATGACAATATGGTTAAATTGTTTTCTGGAACATTTATCCTCTGATAATATATGTGCATGTCAACCAAGGTTAGACTTCCAGCTGGGCTCTAGACCTCCAGGGGTCAGAAGGGTCAATAGGTTCAGTATGTTGCAGTGAGTTTGTGGTAACACCTGTGCAGTCTTACATAGTCCATACAGCTGTTCTGCAATAAAAAACTCTTTTTTTTAATGTTACCTGTAATGTCATATTTTGACTCTGTCATGGAGGCGCTGTACTAGACTGCATTATGTTTTAATGTTTTCTTATAAGAAGGAAAAATAGAAAATCTATCCATCCATCCATTATCTATACACCGCTTAATCCTCACTAGGGTCGTGGGGGGGTACGGACAATTTAGAATCACCAATTAACTTCAACATGTTTTTGGACCTTGTGGGAGGAAGCCGGAGAACCCGGAGAGAACCCACGCTGAACGGGGAGAACATGCAAACTCCACGCAGAAAGATCCCGGTGTCCTCACCAGGACGCGAACCAGCGACCTTCCTGCTGCGAGGCAACAGTGCTAACCACCAAGGCACCTTGTAGCCCAAAATAGAAGATCCTTTAAAAATAACATAGTTAAGTCCACGACCAACACCTCCAACTATGACCCCAGTAACTAACACATAATTAAATGTATGTATTTCTGACAAAGCAACGAAAACTGAACATTATTATGTTAAATTTATGGCTGAGCTGTTGTATTAAATTGCAATAGATAGTATAAATATACCTGTTAAAGTGGCCACTGTGTGCATATTGTAAGCACATGATCATCTAATAATCCACTACTGCAAAAAAGGATTTAAAGTTTAACAAACTCTAATTTATATTTACAATCAAGATGGATTTCAGTAATAAGACATTTAACCTTACTTTAAAGAGAACCTACAACTTGACCTTTGTGCTAAGCAACATACCCTCAAACAGCATTCAAAGACTCTGTGTAAGCAGATAAAACAACTAAAAAAACAACATGCTACTCCTTCAACGTGGGTAATGATCACACAGAGGCACGATATCCAACCACAACGAAACAAGGTTTCAAATGAAACATGGAAACTTGAACCTATACATCTGTTGTCATGCTGCTGATAAGGATTAAAAATGAGGGGTAAAATTGTGCATGGAGTGATTTTTGATACCTATCATCAAGTTGCTCTGGGCTGTGCTTGGTCCCGAAAATCCCTTCTTGAATCCCCTCAACCTTCACAGCCTTCCTGAGGAGGTTGAGGAGAGGGGGGGCAAAGCTAAGAAAAAAAAAGGTACATGGGAACAACACTGCCCAAAGAGGGGAAAATTACAGTCCTTCCTTCTAGAGTTTGGTCTGTCATGATGTGAAATACAACGGAACATTTAAACAACCATTAAAATAACCAAATACAAATCAAACAGATAAAATAAGCTTTTTTTTTTGAAAGTGTGCTGCGAGGCTTGATCATCCAGATTTGGAGGTGATTAAAGTGCGTGTTGGTCACTGTCAAAAAGCTGTCCAGTGAAAACGTTTGTTCTCTCGTCACATCACAGAGAGGAGATCCAAAACAGATGTACGGTGTGATGATCTCTTCTTCTCCTTCCACTCCACAATTGTTCCTCTTGTTTTTTTCTTGCTGGTCTGAGGTCTGTTTCTCCAAATTTGGAGTGATGCACTTTGAGACTGCAAAAAAAAAAAAAAAAGTCCATCTACGCAGCCGCTGAGCTTTGTTAAGGTGGATTTTTTTTTGCAGTAAAGAAAAATTTGCTGGTTCTGGGCATCATAGAAACAGTTTACAGTTCCATGGCTAGATCGAGTAGGTGGAGCTCTCAGACTGCTGACGGATGTAGCACTGAAAACTCTTGTCTCCAATTGGATGCTCCCTGAGGAAAGAAATAGAAAGACGGTGTATATTTGATGGTATGACGTGCAAAGCAGGAGGTAAATATATCCACAAAAGTCCAATTCAACTTGATTGAAGTGAAAATCCATCTCAAAGTAGCAGTTTAAGCGACGATACTTGAAATGTTAAAAGTGCAACATTTACTGTGCAACATCCATCCATCCACATACACCACTTAATCCTCACTAGGGTCGCAAGGGGGCTGGAGCCCATCCCAGCTGACTTAGGGCGAAGGCAGGGGACACCCTGGACAGGTCACCAGTCTATCACAGGGCTACACTTAGAGACAGACAACCAAGCACACTCACATTCACATCTACTGACAAAAAAAAATTTGGTGATTTTTTATCAAAAAATTACCCAAATCATCCATTATCTATTCACCGCTTAATCCTCACTGGGGTCATTGACACCTACGGACAATTTAGAATCACCAATTAACTTCAACATGTTTTTGGACCTTGTGGGAGGAAGCCGGAGAACCCAGGGAGAACCCACGCTGCACGTGGAGAACATGCAAACTCCACGCAGAAAGATCCCGGGGTCCTCACCGTGACGCGAACTGTTGACCTTCCTGCTGCAAGGCAACGGTGCTAACCACCTTGCAGCCCTACTGTGTAACATTCTTTATACATATTAAATAATAACAAGCAATTGTGGACTGTACAACTGCACCACCTGCTGGCCCAAAAAAAGTCGCTCCGTACTGAACCACAGCCTGCTCAGATGTATTTTATAATATAACCTGAGCTACAAATAAACAGGAAAATACCTACTGGCTGCCTATCTTTGTCTTCTTGAACTTGTCCCGTTTGTACTTGGTATGCTGCTGCTCCAACGTCTGCACAGCTGAAACTATCAGCTTCAGGGTTTTGTAGGTCTCCTGAGGGTCATCGATGACAAAGCTGGAGTACTCCTCCTGTTCGGGCCCGTCATACACTGATTTACTGCCACATGCCTCTGCAAAGGGACGACAGGCAGCAGAGTGAGAGACCGAACGAAAGAAACTAACGTGGAAAACAGGCAATCACGTGCATGCATGCTCACAAATAAAGACACTCTGCAGAGTCTGACCTTGCATCTTGATCAGTTTGGTCATGTATGTGCTGAAGAGGGAATAAATCCTCTCAGTCTCTCTGTCTCCGTCTACATCCAGCTGGATATTTGCCGGGAGACCACTGAAAATAGATGCATACAGGAAATGAGAAAGAGAGCGAGTGGAAACGAGGAATCTAATGCTGGATAGATCTGAGCAACTTTATGTACCCAGTGCAGGGTGTGCACCCCGGGGCCGCGTCGGCTGAGAGCTTGCAGCAGAGCCAGTGGCCATTGAGGTAGGCTGAAGGATGGTAGGTGCTCAGGCGTTTGCGGTTGCATTGGCTGACTTTGGTCAGGATGTCGATCCAGTCTCGTGCCTCAACACAGTTGTTGGCCTGGATGTAGAGTGCCCGCTCTGGCTGAATAACCTGGAACATCTGCGAGGAGGGGAAAAAGGGACAGTGAGGGAAGTGAGGGGAGAATCGAAATACTTGTAGGCGAGATTTGTGCCAAATGCTGAAAGCTCCAAGTATTTCATAGGGGTTTGCTGTGTGTGGTCCTCACATTTTTCATCTTGAAAGACTCCTCCTCCAGCCTCTCCACAGCCAGAATGTTCTCTATGGGAATGCTGCACAAAGCTCCCTCACCTGGAGTTAACGGGGAAAACAGCAGACAAAAGTTTAAATGATTGTGTGAAATTCTGATCACATTTATCAACTAGAATTAATGGAAATCGTTGCTGTGTTAGACTGCCCTTAGAGTCACTGGAGTATCCCTTTTTCAAAGCAACTGTCGGTTCTTACAATATTGTAAAAATAGTGTTTTTAGTGCAGCCACAACCTTTGCAGAAAAACTGAAGATTAGCAGATGCTGTCAATCTTGTCAACCTTTGTTTACTTTCACTGGTGGAGCTAAGAATGCTTTAAGGTTTGGTGCTACAGTCGCATCATTTTGAGCTCTGGCGGACATAAACAGAAAATAAGATGATGTTGTAGGATGTCGTGTGTTACTGCAGATGTGAATTACAACATCCCATTTTTATCCTAAATTTGTTTTAGTTTTTCGGCATTTTGGAAAATTGTCTTGGTTAAAGTATGCAGAATATTAAATATTAGATGCTCATGTGTGCAACTTATTCAAATTTACAGCTATCACTGGATTACTCTAATACTGAAAACTGTGACTCTTCAGTAAGTTCTTGATTTTTTTTCTCACTTCTGAGTTTATTGATGGATGTTTATTCACAATGGATTTCAGAGAAGGGGAAATCTCTGAAAGTGAAAGTGACACTGCACTGAGAAATGTATTTATCATGTCTGTGTGTTTAGATTGATTGAGTTATGACTCCAAGAAGGAACATACATTGTTACATGTTGACCGTGGTAGTAAATTACTCCCTTCCTCATGTAGTATCTTCACTTTCTTTCCATCAAACCACTGGTATACCAATCAATACAATACACTGTTCAACATTTTCTAGAATTTTGCACAAGTTTATAACAAGAACTCGCACTTCCACCCAATTGGACTAATTCAAAGACACTCCCCAACGAGAACACACTCCTCAAAACTGCTTAGAATTCGTGTGTAGGAAAATTTCACAACAGCACATGTGTATGTTTTGGCTTGAGTTTGTTTGGATGCATTAAAGCATTGCCTTCTCACTAACTTAATCTCCAGCACATGTGTTGGATGATGAGTGTGCAGACTAAATGTACGCTCAGCAGATTCTCTCAGCCTCCTGCTGATACTAACACAAACACATGCAATGACATAAACAGGCGAGGAAACAACCGCTGAGCTCACCTTTCGTTTTGTGGTAGGTAAACTCGTGGTTGGTAAGGCGAAACCATCTCTTCTTGAAGTTCTTCATTCCGAATCGGTTCCTCCCTTGTGCTCTCTTTATCATAAATCTGTAGAGAAATGGGGAAAAGAAACACGACTAAAAAACTTGTAGGGTTTTTATTTCTCCAGCACAATACATCCCTTATGTATGTCAAAAGCAGTTAAATAGTGTATTACCAAAAGAGTATACATGAGATACTTTACATTAAAATATAAGTAAACACAGTTTTATTGTGGTTAAAGGACTCCTGTGTAATCAATAGTCTGCATTTATCATCCATTTACATGCTGGCATTTACTGAATTATTCTCTGCTGTACATGTAAAACAAACTTCAGTGTAGCACTCATAGATTATCAGTCTATGAGTCCAAAAGGAGATGATCAAAGGTACCAGTGTTTTTGCATATTTTACCACATGACTTATAAATTGTGTATAAATCACTGTACTGACTTCTTGCCAAATCATAACAGAATTTTAGACTTATTTCCAAACTTCAAGACAGCCACTGTTTTTTCTTTATTTCAGTACATTATGAAAATAAACTTACAGAGACTTGAAACTTAAAATAGTTGATATGTCACACTGAACACTTCATATCATGTTCATTTTTACAAGCTAAGCAGCTTTTTCAAGTTCTAATTTTCAAAAAGCTGAAAAAAATGAATCAAATGATTAGTTGTTCAACAGAAAGATAATATTTAATACTTCAGTATTTTTCTGAAGTGAAAATGGTCTGCTTTCAGCTTTTCCAGTGTGAAAATTCATTGTAAACTCAACATAAGTAAGCAAAACAAGACTTTGATGGGTCTGTGTCACTGTTTCCTGGCATTATATAAATCACACAATGTCTGATTGAGGAAAATAATCAGAGGTTTAACTGGAAATGAAAAAATAAATGCTTACTTTTGAAACTGTACATTTGATTTTCTGACTAAATCTATGAATGCAGTGCTTTTTTAGCTTGCAATTTTTTTAAGGATAAATATATATATATATAGTGGATGTAATGATCCACTATAATGTATTAGATATCTTTAGGGGAGCTTCTGATCTCTGTAAGTTCATTGAAATAAATGGAACCAATGCCTGCCTGTAACTTGAAATCAATCCATTAAAACGTTGGCCAATGCTGTGAGGTATACACTATTTGTTGCTAAAACATGTAAAACCACCAGTATGGTCCTTAAAGGGAGAGTAAACAGCAGGATATCTTTGTTTTAGAGTTCAAGGACCATAGGGTACGAGGAATGTGAAGCACCAGGCACATAAACACCAAAGCTACTACGCTTCCACAGGAAAATTTGTATTCCTTTCACACTGCTGAGTGGAGAATGTTCTGCCATGACGCCTAATGTGCATGGTAGTGATATGGTCACGGTCTGAACGAAGGGTATAAAGGGTCAGGATGTGGGCAAATATGAGATCCCAGAAATGTTTGTACAGTAACCAACCCCTGCTGTCACTGTCACACCAAGCATGTCTGGCACGGCGAGGAACGAGAGGGGCCATCAGCAACTAGTGACGCCTCCCAGGTAAGCAAGGTTACAGGAGAACTTTACTTTATATCATCACAATCAGTCTGCTGCCATGTCAGTGCAGAGAGACTTGAATCCATCATACAGTGACAGACAGTGTAACAGTATCTTGGTTAGGTTGCTTATATACAGGCCAGATATAAAGTAAAATGCAGCAGCATCTACTGTAGCGCATGTTGATGTTGGCGGGAGAGAAAATGGCCGGCTTGGTTTTGGGTGGGTGAGTGGGTGAGGGGTCACGGTGCAAACACAGGAGGGGGTCACAAGGGCAAAGCCTTTATGTAGAGAAGCTCTTACCTGCCCTTCGGGCCTTTTGACCCCTTCCCATCAACCCTCTTTATAGTGAGTTTTACACTCCTACGCCCGGTAGCAGAAACAAGAGAGGGTGGGGATGTCGATGAGTGAGCCGGTGGCACAACCACTGACAACTGGAAACGCTCTTAGTCTCTACAGCCTCATTAGAAATAGCTTTGAAACAACAGCTCAGGTGTTTCTAGAAAGGGCTCTGTTTACTGCGTCAGATGCAGCTCCACTGTAACTGCCAGGACTAGTCTGACAGTTTTGGATATTTGTTGTCTGACGGCGAGTTAGATGAGAAGATTGTTACTGCGCTCACATTTTTCTATGTTCAGTATAAGCAGCTGGTTAGCTTGGCTGAGCATACAGACGAGAAACAAGGAGTCCAAAGGTAACAGAATCCACCTACAAGTGCCTATAAAGCTTACTGCTCAACAATCTATATATTGTCTCTTTAATCTGCACAAAATCCTGCAAAATTGTGTTCAGCCATTATTCCAAGATGGTTAGCTCTTGTGCTAATCTTGCAGTCACACCAGCTAAATTACGTAAATTAGCTACTTTATGTTATGCTGTTAAATGTGAGAAACCAGATGAAGAGTCTAGCACTTATAAAGTTGCTCAAATCAACTGCATTAGTGCACAAATCCAATTTTATTTTGATGCAGCTGCCAGCAGAGGTACATTTCCAGCCACTGTGCCAACAGTTTGTCAATATGTCTGTTGTTCTTTTCACCAGGTGGGATGCTGATACTGTCAGTGTTGGAAAGTCCTGATTTATCTGACATAAATTACAAGCCAGGGGCTGTTTGTGATTATGGTTTACATAATATGACGTGACCGCAGCAGAAGCTCATCAGCTCTTCTCCAATCTGTGGCTTCATATTTATCATCCAGACTTGAGTGAGTGCTATCAGTCTTCTCATCTACATCTCTCTGCTTGTGTTATTAAAAGCCAGAAGAAGAAGAAGCTAAGTGAGTTGGAAAACAGACAAACATTGAAGCTGTATAATTAGCAGTGAAATGAAGACTATTGTTATGGTAACAGCTACACTACACAAGACAGTTTTCTATGATCTCAATAAACATTGCATATAACAATTGTCTATATTAACCTGACATATTACATATAAAGGACCTTTCAGAATATAGCCTATAGAGCTGTTTATAGTCCAATTTGGGTTTTTCCTTTCAATGAAAATCAGTTTCACAAAAAATCCTTACCCTTCCTTGAGCATTATTGGTGTTTCAATGCTCTTCTGATCCCATTTTCCAGAGGTGGAGATCAGATCCAGGAACTGTCGAGGCAAGTAAAGGATATCAAATGTCAAAAATATGTATAGTGGTGGTAACTTTTTTTTCATGTTTTTTCCAACAACTCAAGTTTTCAGGCTTCACTTCTTTTCAAAAGCATCTCAGATTGATCAACAACACATTTCATAACCTGTCAATCTGAATTTGTCTTTATACGTCTGACATACAAAACAAAAACATGATTTGATTGTGTGTCCACAAGCTTGCAAAGATTCACCAAATGTAAGAAGAAAAGAAATCGGACACTCACATTCTTCACAGCGTCTGCATATTTCTGCTCATTGAAGTAGTCGTAAAATGCAGCCATGTAAGACTCTTTAAAATTGGCCTTGAAAGGAAAAAAAACAGAGAATAGTGTGCAGAGAAAGAGTGACAGAAAGAGAAAAAGATCAGTAAGACTGAAATACACATTAATTCCAGGAGAAAAATGCACTTTGAGCAGAGAAACTTACAGATTTAGACTTGGCGAGACTTCCGAGGGTCTGGATTGTTTTGGAGATGAGGGTGAGGGTTCGAGAGGTGGCGGGATCCTACGGACACAAAAAAGACATGAAATAAAACAGAATAAACCAAATCGCGTGGGTTCAATTATCCTGTTTGACCACATTACAAAAGTATTTTTTTTATATTGATCTGGTTAGATCATATAAACAAAAATTACTTTTTCCAAAGTCAATAATCAACATTAAATTTCAGCTTTTAAGTCAACAACAATAATTTAAAAAAAATAAATAAAAATGTCATAATCAACTAAACAATCTGTTGAGGTAAGTCATGTAATATAATCAAAAGCTACTGAGTAAAGGATAATTATTTTCAGCAGCACACAGAGGAAGAAGTTCACATGTGTATGTTGGTTGCACGTTTGTTTTTAATATCAGACTCACTGGATGGTGCGGCCGTAGATGGAATAAGTTTGGTGAGAGGATGGCTGGAGCGAAGAAACGCAGGAAGATAAAACTGCTCACTGCTGTGTATCGGACGTCTTGGTCGACTAGAGAGCAGAAAAAATGGGGGAAAAAAACAAGGGTTTATCACTCATGATACCTGTTCAAAAAACACGTAAGGCATTAAATATACAGTCAGTTAGGAATTTCATTTTTGAAATTTTTGATACAGAGAATGCAGTTCAAATACAGGTTTCATTACTTAAAAATGTCTGCAGCTCTGGTTTGTTTTTAGACAGTTTTTAACCCCTGAAACCAAAATTCTGGTGGTAGGATTGAAATGCATGTTGTCTTCAGAAGAAATGACACAAATGACACCATTTATCACAGCCAGAAAACTTGCAAAAGCTTACAAGCTTAAAACTGTAATATTTCACCAAAATCAATTTATTCTGCATGTCTAAAAATAAGCCATTTGCACTTACTAGACTCTGTAAAAAGCTGTAAAAAAAAAACTGTGAATCCATTTGTGACTCAGCTGCTGTGACAAAAGCTCATGGGCTTTTTGACTGAACGGGGCTGAACTGCAGGTTGTGCTAACACAAAGCAAGGATTGAGAAGTTTGGGGACAAATTAAAAATGTAACTAGTTAAATGTATGTAGTATTTAGAGCCACTATTATTTCCAGTATTGGTAACTGTTGGGGTACTTGGACAAATGTTGTAAATGTAGATTCCAGATTTTTTTTCTTTAACATGTTTTGTAAAATAAATAATCAAAGAAATCCAATTTATTTACTTATTTATTTTTTATTAATGTATGGTGCTATAACTCTGTCAAACTTCCATTCTCCCAAATCCAGCCATTATCGTTCCATTTCCGTGAAAGTACAGGATATTATGTTGCTGTGAAAAATGAACCCACAGTGAGTAAAAAAAAATGTGACAGGAGAAAAAACAGCAAAACAACTGCTTGGGGTTCAGAGGGTTTAGTTTTGTTGTGAAAGATCTGTAATCAATTAGATTCCAGTTGGTAATGTGTTCCAGAGTCGACAGCCATTTACGGAAAAAGCTGATTGTCCAAATTTAGATCTACGATGTGGTATTTACAGATGCAAACCCAACATGCTGCTGATTACTCTGTTACTGTCTTGTCCACGGAAATATGTGGAAAAAGAGGCTCTGGAGTCAATGTGCTGTCTGAGTCACACAGAGAATAAACTCTGCTTTGTATTGACCTTCTCACTATGACTTGCACTGTGCTTTATTTAGAAAGCTAAAAACAGATACTGATTTAGTAAAAAGGAATTATATTGTTGACATGTAAAATATTTAAATTATCCAGTTACTTCAAAAATGTGTGGTTATAGTTTTGGGAGTGTTTTTGGGTGGCAGAGGTCATTTTGACACATAAATATGTTATTTAGAAATACTTAGAACGTTGTAACTGGTTTTCTTTCCTTTTAGTTGGTTTCTGAAACATTTGACTGCAGTGTTTGGTGACGGCCTGCAGGTGGCAGCACAGTATAAGACACCGTCATATTAGAGCACACAATCTTAAAGTGTGTGTAGGAGGCGTAATTGGTTTCAGGTTTGACACAAGCAGCACAAAAAGCCTTTCTGCGATCCTGAGCAAAAGGACGAAAGCGTCCTTGGACATCCTGCTTTTAACTGTCCTTTCTTGTTTCTCATTAGCAGCTTTCTTCCGTCTGTTGTAAGTCATTGAGCAGGTGCATTACCTTGGAAACGAGTGGCAGCAGATTCTCTCAGAGAGAAGAAGATATCACACATGACGGTGGGACAGCGAACGCCAGAGGTTGTGATCACATTGAAGATGCGGTCTACGTACTGACGAAGGTTTTCCTGAGCAGGAGGAGGAGGCAGGCCGGAGGTGTCAGAGAACACAGGCAACCAACGCACACAAACAAACATGCAAAAACTCTTCTTCTTACCCTGTTCGTCTCCAGGTTCTCCGACTCTTTAAGCTTCACCGGGTCGATTTCACAGGACTTGTGTTCTGTGCAGATCTGTGACAATTTAGCAAAGCATTAAAATACCTATTTGCTATGATTTTCCAAAATATCCCGAAGTAAAGACAATGTGTGTGGGATTTGTTCAAACAAAGAGCGACAAAGACTGCGAGTAAAGAGAAAAACAAAGGAATGCGAATACGGTAACATCATACCTCATCTATGATTGGTTTCAGTGTGACTTGCAGATAGTGCATTCCTGCCAGCTTCATGGTCTCATCAATGCACTTAGAAGTCAGCGAGTTTCCCCGGAAAATGGTGTTTGGATCCCTACAAAAGGAGGCAGGGTGTGTTTTTTGAGAGCACAAATCAAAACTACAGCTTGTGCCTCAAAATTAAGACGCTAAAACCTGCCAGAATAAAAAAACACGACTTGTCAGAGTAATTTAATATCCAAAGTAAATTCTATTACAGTGGAAACATATATTTCAAAGTCAAAAAGCAAAGCCAGTGATTATTTGCTTTTACCTGATGACCTCATTCCTACAATCACTTTAATTAATAATGGCAACAAAGTGGCAACTCAAAAATATACATTTACCTGATTTATTAATGCAAACCTTACACCAAACCCCAAATATACAACATTTAGCTGTCCTTTGTTGAATAAATTCTCTCATAATATCGCTAACAATCACAAAGCTGCAGCATAAATCAGCAAAACACATCAAAGCATTTTCAATATATATGAGCTGTTGCCATTTCCAGTGTAAAAGACGCAATGATTCACTCACTGTGTGCGGTTGACTTCAGCGTGAGCAATGGCGCTGATGAAAGGCACTATTTTGCCATAATGAAGAAAGAGACGCACGAGCGGAATGGCAGCTTCTTGTTTCTCTCGACACACCTCTCCCAGAGTGTGAGCTGTGGACGCTGACACGGGCTGAGCAGAGAGGAGACGGAGTGAAGCCGTTAACAATACAAGATGCTGCCGGGATATGTCTGAGCAGAGCAGAGACACTTTCATGTGCACATACCTCAACATTAGCAGAGTGCAGCAGCAGATCTCTGAGGGGAGTGTAGTGTTCAGACGGGAAGACGTGGTCCTCAGTGTAAACGATGTTCAGACGCAGAGAGCCGAGCTCGTCCACCTTCACCGACTTTCCTCCGTTCTCTCTGGGTTGCAGAAAGTACCTGAAGAAGATGAAATGCAATGTATAAAATCGACAGCACATTCAGAAAACGACTGATCAGCCCAAAATTAGGCAAAAAAACACGTTTAAAGCTTCAACAATCAACTTTTTCATATCACGTGATCGGATGTGAAAGGTTTGCTGTGTTCAGAGAGATATCACACGACTCTGTGGTTTCCCTCAGCTCTTTTGGGTGTCTTTTAGTGTATTGATTTTGTTTACGCTCACCACTCTAACAGAGCCTCATTTTCAGTCATGAAGCTCTAACAACTGCCCACCAGGGATGAAACTAATGATGATTTTCAGTGTCAATTAGTCTATTGTATTATCTTCTCAATTTATTGCTTTGTTGTTCATTAAATTGTTGTTAAATGGTAAAAAAAAAAAAAAGAAAAAGAAAAAAAAGTGCATCAGTGTTTCCCAAAGCCCAAGATGACAAAGATGAAAAGTCTTGTTTTGTCCACAACCCAAAGATATTCAGTTTAATGTCATAGAGGTCTAAAGCAACAATTAAAATTTAAGAAACTAAAAATTTGGTGATTTTTTTATCAAAAAATTACCCAAACCATCCATTATCTATACACCGCTTAATCCTCACTAAGGTCATTCACACCTACAGACAGTGTAGAATCACCAATTAACCTCAATATGTTTTTGAAGCCAGAGAACCAGGAGAGAACCAATTCTGCAAGGGGAGAACATGCAAATTTCATGCAGAAAGATCCCGGGCGTCCTCACCGCGACACAAACCGCTCTCGCTGCGAGGCGACGGTGCTAACCACAGAGCCACCTTGCAGCCCTTACCCAAACCAGTTAATAGATTATCAAAACAGTAAGCGAATAATTTAATATTTGACAAATAATGTATTAATCTTTGCAGCCCTAAAGACTACACACCAGCAGCCATGCAAGTGAACATATAGTATTTAGTAGCTAAAGCACTTCCTTCTAAAGTTGGTGGTGACCAAAACAGAGACAAGGCGGTGTGAATACTAGGCTTAAATTAGTCTCAGGTGAAACAAAACATGACTGTAAAAACATGCTTTGTATCTACTTGAAATGCAAGCATCACTTCACCACCATGTTCGCCATATCAACTTCATAAGGCCATACTATGCCACAAACTGTCCAGAAAGTTGTGTGACTAAACGTATTCTTACTAAATATATGTGTATGATTATTTTATATACTGTAAATTGAGCACCACCGACTATCCAGTTTTTATTGTCTTTGTTCTGATTTCCAAAGCTGTGCTCCCAGCATTCATGGAGGTTTTTCAAAAGAAACACGTAATCCTAGAAGCCAAAACAAAAACAGGCCCTGCTGGGTCAACAATGTCAGAAAAAAAGCATTTATGCTCAGCAAAGTCTAATTTGGTTAAATAAAAACTTAAAAGAAGTTCTGTTGTCAGTGTTGACACTCGCTATGTTGTGCCTCTGTTGTTGCTGTGGCAACACATGATTCAAAAATGTCAACAGCCAACAAAAATGAAACCAAACCAGGCCAGCTGCAGCAGGGGTGCAGAACAGTATTCGCTCAGTGGAAAAAAAACAAAAAAAACAACATAAAACAGACCCAAAGTGATGACTGGGTCAACAGGGGGAATGTGTGAGAGGAGATGATGTGTCAGTGATGTTCCTCTCACCAGGCGTCGTGGACTCCAGCCTGACCCAGGACCCGCAGAGGAACCCGAACACCTCCCAGGAACTCGTCCCCGAACTTCAGGTTGCTGGCGTTCCACAGGTCGACCCTAAACACGAAACACATGGTGAGAAGAGCTCAAAGCGAGTTCAGCGTTGAGCCTGGCACAGAGAAGACAGCTGGCGACTCACCTCAGTGCCAGTTTGTCCACGTCCTCTTCTTCAACATCAAACTGTCGCTTTGTGTAGCTCAAAGGCCTCGTCACCTACAACAGAGTTGGAGTTGCATTATTTCATGTTTTGCCTGAACAAAACAATCCTAAATATGTCAAAGTGATGAGAAGATTATTTAGCTGAAATCAATAGAAGTTTTGGTTTGATGCCCTCTATCTGGCACATTTGCATCTAAAACTGGATCCATCAGAGATCAAAATGTAGGTTTGGAGCAACAAGCTAATACAATTTGAAATAATCGAATTAAGTTAATCACATGACAGAGATATGATAGATGGGCTGTGTTTGCTGAGGGTCTCTAAAACAGAGGAAGGCTGCAGGCAGAAAGCAAGACAGGGCGAGCACAGTGGTGTTCATGCATTAGGAATAAATAAGATGGTCTTGTCGGATAAAAATCAATGGGCCAGATTGTTTGGTTTGTCTGAATCAATCATACTCTTGTCCTGCTGTCTGCTGGTGCTGCAGCGAGGAGGCCAGGGGGAGGAGCGAAACAAAAAAATGTCAGAGCAGAGCTGCTGCGAGCAAGGGTTAAAGGGGGCAGCGTGACAGAGAGAGTGTGTGTATGAAAGATATCTATAAATATATGGGGAATATAAATAAATGTACATGGTGACTTGTTTTCGAGAAGACATCCAGACTCTTACTGTTAACATATGATTCCGCTCGCTCATGCTACCGAATTAATGAATCCTTTAAAGGCAAAAGTAATGAAAATCTAAATTTTAGCAAGAACTTGGGAAGGGTTCAGACTTTCAGTTAGCTAGTAGATTTTAATGATGAACTCTGCCGTCCTGCTAAGTAGGCCTGATAACTTGTTGTGCCGAGCCCATGATAAAGATTAAACTAAAGTTCATCCTGTAACAAAAAGTTTAATTTTGGAGTAGAAAATAAAACCGGGGAGCAAAGACAAGCGAACGGTTCTCACTGCAGAGCCAAATGGGTGGAGCTTGACCGAGACCAGACCATCCTCTCTGGACCGAGTTCAGCTCCAAACACTGGCTATAAGTGTTAATGCAAGATCATACGATGTGCTCCAAACTGCATACGTTTTCATTTACCATTCAGTACGTACTGCAGCTGCCCTTACAAAGTACGTAATAATGCATGTAGTATGTGCGCAATTGGGACATTTTTCAAAAAACTAAAACGATAGTTCACTTACAAATATACTTATCTAAAATTATGTAATTTAACCTTTAATTTGTACATTAAAAAGACCTTAATTTTGCATTTCAGGTGCAAATTCGAGGGTTTATATCAAACAGTTGGATAGTTCAGGGGTAACTAATGGAGTTAGAGACATTAACAGATTTGTAATGACTAATAAATAGACCTGAATAAAAAAATGGTTTTCTGATAACATCTTTTTGGTGAAAATCGTGAAAACATTCATATTAAACAGAAAATAAATGCTATTCAAGGCATTAATAAATGGCTAATTTTTACTGCTTTGGGAAAGTTGTTCTTCCCTACTTCAGCTTTGCAGGTTTACGAGCATATTAATGGATTTTAAGGTAAAATAAATAAGAGATTCAATTTCATTGTGTCTGTAGCATGTAGTGACATTTTAGAAATGGTGTTCTGACAACTTTGTGGCAATACTTTGGGAAAGTTGCTTTTTTTGTTTCACCATGATACTGTCCCTGTGCACAAAGCAACAAGGTCCCAAAAAAATTAGACTTCTTACTGGCTGATTGTCAGCCAGGAATTTTACATTCAGCAGCAAATAAATGCCAATGACTGTAGAATGAGGAAATCAACAATGGCATTGGGGTATGTTGTTAATGTGTCCACGTACTTTTGGCTTTAACTGATACAGACACAACAGACAAATCTGAGGGGTTGTCAACAGGAGAGGAACAAAGAAAAAGCAAAGTTCTGTTACTCAAATCTAGGGTGGGGTCGCTAACACCCCCTCCCCCGCTACACTGTCACAGATTTCTGGTGAGAACCCTGCCCAACATGAAAAGGCATCTTTGAATGACAAGTTAATGGTAAACTACCTCGAAATAGAACACTTCCTCAAACTGTGGATTGTTGGTTTTCCTCTTCACCTTTGTCTTCTTGGCTTCAGACCTGAGGGAAGAAGGAAGGCAGATGGAGAGATAAAACCGAATGCTTGTCAAAAGTTAAACATGTAATTGACAAAGCTGTGCATTGTTTCTGGTGTAAGAATTATTACCTTGAAGGACCTAGTAAGGAGACAGCAGCGTAGGGATCACATTGGCCATTGACAATTGGAAGACCTTGGCACTCCAAAACTCTGTAAACACAAACACACAGCAGACAGTAATAAATAAACATATTACTGAACAAGCTACTACACACACACACCTGTAATACACTAACAAAATGCATTATTATAATGTTGATGCAGTGTTTGCATTATGTAAGCAAATACCTCATTAAAATATCAGGAAACATAATTCTACAAGTTGAATACTAACTACATAAGACGTTTCACAAGATTTTGTGGCATCCTCTGCTAATTCATGAAGAACCAGAGTGTGTCTTTTCAAACAAAGGCTACACAACGGCTACCAAAAAAGGAACAGGACAAAAAAATCTCCATTACCAAAAGTCACACAAGTCTCAGAGGACTCTTAAAGCTCCATTACACCCTATGAAACCACTTAATCAAATGACTAACATGAAAGGGTCGTCAGTATTGCAAAGACCACTGAGAATTGACACACAATCCAACACCTCTGCAAAGCTTTTAGCTTCATCAGCCCACACAATCAGTCTCAGTGCTCCCACCAACCCTCCTATATGGGTTCAAACAAGCTGTTTCCAGGAAACAAATCTATGCTACCAGCCCAGCAACACGTGGTAGACAAAGAATTTGAGCATTTAACATGTAAAACACTATTTTTCTCAAAACCAGTGCTGGACATACAGCTTATTATCAGGCGACTAATAGAAAATTCTGCAGTTGTGATTATATTAGTTTGGCCTAAAAAAATTTTTTTAAAAGCTAAAAAAAAATAAAAATCCTTTATGCAGCTTTAAACTTACTTTAAAATGTACTTGGAAGTCTGAGCTCTGCAGCATTTACTAAAAATAACTTAAAGGAGGTGTGATGCTCGCTTGTTTTTTTAAACTAGTGTCAAAACAAATAAATCTCAACACATTTATATGGACAAACACATAGAGCCATACTCCATATAACACAAAAGTCACTTCATAGGATATTTACAACGCTTTATTCCTCCCATAGCACAAGCAGTTTCTGGGCACAAGGTTTTTTGTCATTTACAAAATGTGGTTACAGCATACATTTTTGGTGGCCAAATTTTTAAATGACATGCAGAATAAAGCTTCCTCAAAGAAATAACAAAATTTTAAGCCTAGATTTGCTTAAGTTTACCAATGGGCCAGCACATCACGAATATTTTTAACGTTTTAAATGCCTGCTTAGTGGAGCTCTTGCATCTTAATGCCCCAGTTGGAGCACTGAGGTCGGCCAGCCAGATGCCTTTGAGTGTTTCAAGATCCAAGCTCAAAAATAGGCGATCAAGCCTTTGCATTGGCCACCGTTGCAGTTTACCTTCTCATGGAAGAACTACTCAGATTCTTGAAACTTTTAAGTCAGTGTTTAAGACCAACCTCTGTTAGATGGCATTTGATTCACATCAAGCTTGACTTCATCTCTTATTGTACTGTATCTTCAATTCTAATGTTCCTATTAGATAGATAGATAGATAGATAGATAGATAGATAGATAGATAGATAGATAGATAGATAGATAGATAGATAGATAGATAGATAGATAGATAGATAGA